CCACCTTATGACGGCCCACTGAATTTCAAACATGTTTGATCTTCTCCTGATTTTAAGATTCCTGCTCTGGAGGTGGTCGCCAGAGGCTGATCGCCCCTCGTTATTCACTCTAAACTACACGACGCACCATCAGGCTGAAAGTGGCCGGATCCAAAAATTCTGGCACTACTGGAGAATCGGCCCGAAAAAGGGCAACAAATCGTACAGTGTACGTCCGGCTTAACATATAATTAGAAGCTTAGCAAAATTGTTGCTATTTCATTAGCGCTGTTGTGAGAAAAATGAACAAAAATAGCCCTGTTGGTAATATTTTACCCCTGTCACCAACACATTTTTAATCATTACCTCTTTTAGGAAGATATATTTTTATTTATTGATTGAATATTAATGGCACTAATGTCCTATAACTGTCATTCTTCCACAGGAGGCTGCTCAACGTTTTGCTTTGGGTCAAAATTGCTGCTGATGATGTTCCAAAGGTTTTATTTTTGGTGGGTTAAAAAAATGACAGATGAGAAATGATTAACCTGGCTGCCAACAGGAATGTATGTGACTATCAGATTTAACAGTTTCAGTGTGTGTGCATGACTTTAGGTGAAGGTCTACATGAGGGACACCGTCCCAAATCTTAAATAAAGACCCAGTCTGATCGAGGCAGAGATGAGAGACACAACGACGTAGAGAATTTCTTTCTCTGCTTTTTTTTTTCGTTTCAAGAGGATCAGCTGTAAAATGCAGAGCTTTAAATGCATTCTTCATCTGGTTAGTCCTTAAACTGTTTTATTGGCTCACTTCGTCTGATCCAGCCCGTGCCATTCAGCAGCAGCACCACAGCTACCACTATGTTAAAGACTGAGGGAGCAGGCAGAGTCTGATCCAGCCAGAAGAAAATATTTTCGTAGTTGGAGGAGCAGCAGGTTAGAAAGGAATAGCCGTGGTGGATCCAATCAGCTGGGGCTGCAGGCTTCATCTTTTTCCCTCAACCTCCTCATCCTCTGCAGCTGCAACTTCACCTGCAGCAAAGGAGCATAATCAAATCCTCAGTGTCGGGCTCTTCCCTAACCTGCAGAAGTCTCAGGTAATGCATGGAAAATGGATTTGTGGGGTAATATTTGAATGCATTTTCAGGCAAAACTATTTTTTTATTCCTGGAAATAAACAATCACAGCACTTTGAACTCTGAATAAATACAGCTGAACAGTTACAGAGACAACCTTGGCCGGGCATGAGGTTTGAATGTCAGCACTTTGGTTTTCATTCACCTTTTTAGCTGCAAAAGGAAAACAAGATGATTTGGAAAAGATCATATTTTCTACAAACATAAAATGCATTAAATAAGAAATACTCATCAGATTATACCGGGTTATATGTATGGAAGTCTAAAAGAGCCGCAGTTAAAAAAAATGTTATTAATTTGTTAAATGAATAATTGAATCTGGTATTAATTACTTATAATAATTATTAAAAAAAACTCAGAAAGCAATAAACTAATAAATATTTACACGTTTAGCTAATTACTTTTTATTAAAGTATATTAAAAGTCATAAATTAAATAACAAATTACCTTTTTATGTTTGTGTTTTACAAGAAATCATAAATTAACTTTAATTTTTCATTCTCCTAAGCCTATTAAGCCATTTTAAACTGATTTAAAAATGATTTAAATCAAAGTGTAACCTACGAAGAAAGGTCTGGTTATCACTTAGTTAACCAATCAAAATTACAAATTCTCTATGAAGATTAACATGTATGTAAATAATTTTATCTACTTATAAAATAGATTTATTTCTAAATTTACTGGTAAATAATTGACTGTTTGAGCTAAGAAAAAGTTGCAATATGACTTTTATTTTGAGACGGTCTGTATTGAAAGGCAGCCCTCTGAAATTATAATTAATCCTTAAACCTCAGAGATTGTAGTTTCACCCTCTGCAGCAACAAATGGAAACAAGTAATGGAATAACTTGCAGCAATGGTTACATCATAGAAAAGGAGTTTTAGATTCTTCTTCTTTGCTGAATAATCTAAAATGATCCACACTGGACACATAATATTGTTGGAGTTCAGTGTCAGTTTCAGATCATTTTCCTGCTGCAGAGCTAAAAGTCTGCTTTAGCTCTAAGTGAACATATTCATGGTCAGAAGGAAAGTATCCTGCAGATCCTCTCAGGTCCTGAAGCTGAAGTGGTTTTAAAAAATCTTGTTAGTCTGTTCTTCTTTTTGACGCACTTCCTCCAAATTACGCATTTTTGTTTTGGACGTTTTCCAAAAAGTCTTGAGGACGACTTTATTGTTAAAGGGAAAGTCCGGTCAGCAAGGAATAACCAGTGGATCATTATTTATACCTAAAACTAACACGTTCACAGTGATTAAATTAACTTATTTTTCGTCGCGATCACTGAGTCCGGGAGCGGCCATTTTCTCCCAAATATAGTAGCCCCTCCCTCCTGCCATCTTCCAGCAGTGACGTCACGGTGCGGTAAGCCTAGCGCCATTCTCCCCGCTTTCCAAGCTAAATCAATGGGAACTACTAGACACGAGGCTGGCCCCGACCCGATCCATGTATCGGATCGGGACGCCGATATT